GCATGTATCAAAGGTACCATTTTTCCTTTCGTTTGTACCTCTGTGCTGTGACTCTGAAAATTTCTCATAGAAGGCTTAAGCTCACTGGTATTGCCTTATTTTTAGACACTAGTGACTCACTACTCTAGTTGTCCTATTTAGCCATGATTTTTGATTCCTTGCTTTTGAAAATTGTATGTCTTTAAAAAAATTTACCATAAACAGATTGTAAGAAAATGATACCTATATAAAAAAATTGTTCATAACATCTTATGATAGATGTCATATTGTTGAGTGCACTTTTACTAATATGTAATGTTTCTTTTATTGCTGTACCCTGGTTTACCTTATGGAGTTAAAAGCCTTTATTATGCCATTGAAATATGAAACAAGGTTAGGCACTAAGCTTCCTTCTTGAATCTATGACAACCCATGCTGCATTTTCTCCCCATCTGTCTTTTTTGGTCTTCTTAGTAGTCTCCTTTGTCTGTCTGTCTCTCTCTATGGTAGTAAAGTTTGAACCCAGAACCTTCACACTGAACCATATTCCCAGCCCTTTTTATTTTTTATTTTTGAGGTAGAGTCTCACTAGGACACTAAGTGGCCCAGGCTAACCTCAAACTTGTGATCTTCCTGCTTCAGCCTCTTGAGCCAGTGGAATTACAAGAATGTGCCACACAACAGGCCTTATTCAATTTTTTAAAAAGTAAATATTCTTATTTTAAATTTTAAAGTAACACAAACTCATTAAACAATTCTACCCCTTGAGTAGCTTAAAATTAACATGTTCCATATGAAGGATAAACACACAATAATATCCACACCAACCCCCACATACACACACTTGCATACACACAACACATATTTGATCTTCCCTTTCACTTTTCCCCATGGAATCTTACATTGATTTTTAAATTTTGGTACTGAGATTTGAACCTGGAGTCTTCACCCTGGGCTATATCCTCAGCTGTTTTATTTTTATTTCTTTTTTATTTAAAAAATTTTATTAGTACATGTTTGCAATACATAATAATTGCATTCACTGTAGGGAGTTGATATATGTACATAACACACCTCAATTATTTTTACTCCCCTACCCACTTCTTGGTCCCTTCTCATTTGGGAAAGATCTAGGCTCTCCCAGTCACTCTGATTGGGTTTGAACTGCAGTGTTCCTGCCTTGACCTCTCAAATGCTGAGCTTAAAAGTATGCACCACTATGTACAACCACAGCTTTAGTTTTCATATAACAATGAATCATTGGTTGTGTAAATGTTGGAATTCCTTAGAGATTTGTCCTGGTATTCTCCCAAGTTTTCTCTTCCATTTCTGCACGCTCTGACGTTGCCCCACCTGGTTTTAGTCACCCTCATTCGCAAACACACAATTCCAGCCATGATCTACATCCAGCTCATTCATTTGTCATTGCTTATTGAATGCTCTATACAATTCCCCCTGGGACACTGCTTCCTCTTGTGTCCATCTCAGAGAGCAGCAAGCAATAAGTCCATTTTCCCAGCTGAGAGACTTAGCATTGCTTTCAGTCCTTCCTCATTCAGTAATATCTTGTCATTCTTTCGGCCTATTCTGCCTACTTCTTCAATATCTTAAATAATTGATTAGCATCCATATTAATTACCACCTCTGTAATCCAAGTGACAGTCACCTCTTGCTTGGGGTTCTGTAGCTGTCTAACCTCCCTTCTTCTGCTCTTCTGGTCCATTTGCCACTCAAGCCTGAAATGATTTTCATCTCACATGTTTGCCTTGGAAAATTCTTTCTCCCCATCTCTCAGTCTCTTCCTATTGATGCTGCTTCATTTATGTTTCTAGCATCCCTGTACAAGTACCACCCTGCATCACCACCACCAGACTGAGTTCTCCCAGGGCAAGAACTAAGAGAACCTTAGAACATAGCACTTGATAGTTACCAAATATTTGAATTATGAATAAATATCACCAGAAACTTAGGGAAGCCATAAAGCTTCAAGGATGACCAATTCTTGAATCCTAAGAGTTACAACAGTCAAGTCTAGGGAGCCCAGGGGGCAGTGTGGTTCAATGGTCAGGATAAGAGCCTAGCCATGGCAGTTGGAGGTACCAGTGCTATTAGGGAGTGAAACAATGCACTCATGACCAGAAACTGTTTGCCTTTTGTTTTCTTTCCTGCTTTATTTATTTGGAGCCTTGTGTAGACTTAGTAAGGTATTGTGATTGGAGGTTTGAAGGCTTGTACAAAGCCTAATTCTTTAGTGGAACAAAGGGACTAATGTGAAAGTTCTTGAACAGAAGTAGCTAGATTTTGGGTAGTCCACTGTCCAAACACCCAAGGGGGTTAATCTTGCCCTTGCACCAGCTGGTAAATCCTGATGTTTTCCTCAGCTATACAGACTCATTAAAGAAAAGACCTTGATTTCTCAAATCTCTCCCATTTTAAAGTACCTGTGTTCTTAACCACATGATGCAAAGGGGGGGAAAAAAAACATTACCACTAAAAACCTATGTTCTCTATTGATTTTACACTTGAACACTACCACCAACCCTGGCTGTTATGTCTTGAACTCTGACTGTGTTCACAGTGATTTGCATGGGATATCTCTTGGTTCTGTGGTAAACTTGGGTGGTTGAAACATACAGTGGAAAGAATTCTGAATGTGGATTTAGGACATTAGGATTAGGATCTGAACTCTCCAACTCATTGTGGCAATATAGTGTGATCCTATTTCATGAAATTTTGAATTATGTATTTGATTTCAAGTTACATCTCCCTTAGAGCAAACAATCTTAAATAATGTAATTTCTCCCCAGTTAATCAAAAACTATGATTTCAAAGCTTTTGGGCCTATTGAATTATAAGATGTGTTTATTTTATTGAAACCCTTTCCCTTTAGTTAGTGAACAGAAATATCCACTATCTCTGTCATGGGAAGTCTTAAAATGTCAGTCACATTTTGCAAGGTCTTCATCTCTTGCCTAAAAGACACTATTTTTGGCCTAGGTAAGTTATCTCTTTTTTCTCTTCACCTCACCCCCCTGCCCACACACACACACTGGAGAAAACTCAGAGACTAAAACCTACCTCCTAGTTCTAAATCAGGAAGTGCAGGTAAAAACTGCCTAGTTTAGTCAGGTATTTAGTAAATGTTTTTAGATTTGCAAAGTGGATAAGATGCATTTTCTACTAAAATGCTTACAACAGAGCAATAAATTGAAAAAATATCTCTACATTATAAAGATATGACCAGAAGAGGTCTTTATGGGCATGTATGGATTTTAAGCCTATGCCTGCCTTTCTTCATGATATATTTTTATTGTTGACTAAGATACACAAGAAGAAACTTTCCTCTAAATTCCCTGTTTATTACAGGAGCAAAACATTAAAAAACTAATAGACATTCTTTAAAATATTTTTATTGGTATATATTTGTAATACATAATGTTTACATTTATCATTGGGAATTTGTAATATACATATCCCATCTTAATCATTTTTACTTTCCATTCCTCTCCCCCTTCCCCACAATCCCTTCCTATCTTCACAAAGTTTACATGCCTGTTTCTTATCATCTCTTTTATATTGCTCTTTAAATTATTTATATTTCAAGTTTCTCATATAAGAGAAACCATGGAATATTTAACTTTCTGTGTATGATTTACTTTTGTTAGCATTATGGTCTCAAGATCCATCCATTTTCCTACAGATAACTCAAATTTATTCTCCTTTGTGGCTGAGTAGTACTCCAGTGTGTATATATACCATGTTTTCTTAATCTATTCATTTTTTAATGGCCATTTGCCTTCTTCCAAAATTTAGCTGTTATGAATTGTGCTGGAATAAATATAGGCATGCATGTATCACTGTAAAATGATGCCTTTAACTCTTTTAGGAAGATACCCAGAAGAGGTATACCTGGGTCAAATGGAATTTTTATTTTTAGTGTTTTGAGGGATCTCCATACTGATTTCTATAGTGATTGTTCTAGTTTACATCCCCACCAGCAATGTAGAAGTGTTATCTTTTCCCCCACAGTCTCTCAAACATTTGTTATTATTTTATTTCTTGATGGCAGCCATTTTTTCTGAATCTCAGTATTGTTTTCATTTGCATTTCTATAATGGCCAATGATGGTGGACATTTTTTCATGTGTTTCTTAGCCATTTGTACTTCTTTTGAAAAATGTCTATTCATTTCAATTGCCCATTTCTTAAATTGGTAATGGGCATATTCTTTGAGAGGAAATTAAATTAGCTTTTCTAGGGCCACCTTTACTGAATTTATGACATAAATGTAATAATCCAATAGTTTTTTAAATCAGGAGATAAAAGTCTTTAAAATTGCCTGATTATTCAAAGGATTATTAGTCATTTTCACAATTGTAGGTTTAAGGGTAAGAATTCTAAAATGATATAGGCTAGGGAAGATTTATAAATTTTAAAATTTTAATTTCTATTAGAACATGTTTGCAGTATATAACACTTTACCTTGTTTGTCCTAAGAGTTGAATACATACGCTTTTTCCAAACTATGGAGATATCGACTGTATTTATCAGGTGGTAATTAGAGCTCTTGGGAAGCACATGCTCTCAAAATGCAAGACAATGCTAATTAGCAGGGAATGATTAGTTATCAGACCATTTAAAATTTAAGACAACAGTTGAAGAAAATAAAGTTTCATCAATTTTGGAATAGAATGGACAAAGACAAAAACCCAAGTGTGAGAAGACAAAAAGATTTAATGCTTTATCGGCCATGTCTCAAAAGGAAGATTTTAAAATATTATTGTGTGGTTGTGTCATATTTTTTGAACATTGGATTTTAAAGTTGTTTTCTTTATTCTAGAATCTGGTAGCACCTAACCAATGGAAAGAGGCTTTATAAGCTTTGGACCTCCTGAATTGGCTCCCTTCCACATTACATTCAGTACCATGTTATGTGTGGCTGCTTCTCTGGTCCCAGCTATAGAATACTGTGAAACTGATTGCTGCTGACAGCTCATCTACTTTTGTTGTTTCTTCTTGTAGGAGACAGAGCATGTGGTGCCCAGCCAGTCCGAGTGCCTGGGTAGAGCAGGAACACCAGTTTATGAGAGTCCACAAAACAACTCCTTCAGGTGCCAGGAAACAGTGCCACTCCAACCAAGGTGGGCCCTTTGTTGTCAGAATCTATACTGGGCCTAGGGTTTGTTTCTCAGAAAACCGCTAACTTAGATGCTTGCCACCCTCACAGGAGTCAAGGCTATCTGACTTTTGTTGGCATTGCTTATGGTCAGAAAAGCTACTTAAGAAGGTTTAGAAGAAGAATCTGCAGAATCACTGAGTTTGAGAGAAATGTAAATAACCCACTTTCTCTGTTTTTCCTTTGAAGAAAATTACCCTTACGGCACAGGGCAGAATGGAGACAGGTACTGTCTTTAGAAAGCAATGCTATTCATTGTGCCCCCCTTTCCCACACCAGAGGCAATTAGGTTTTCATCTGTGATAATGACAAATTAGTGACGCTTGTGTGAGTATGGCGCCACTTGCTTTTGCCTGTGACTTCACTCAGCTTTCTCTCCTTGCTCAGGCAGTTTTACTCATGGTTCCATTTTATGGAGGACTCCGAGGCTGAGACATTAAGATACAGTGGACCCTTGACTTATGAACTAGATTGGTTCCTGAGGGCTGGTTGTAATCAAGTTGGTTATAAGTCAATACAGCTGAGATTTGGATGTTTACCTGGGTATATCTTGCTATAGATAACAAAAGGCAGATGAATCTTCATTAAACTAATTAAATTAAGTTGTTCATATATCCAACCAGTCATAATCTGAGGGTCCACTCTACTTGCCTGTTATGCAAGCGAAAATGGCTGAGCCAAAATTTGATCCTACGTACCTTGGTGTATGATGTAGCAGGTGCAGCTATGTGCTGACTCACGTATTGTCCTGTGCCCTTAGCTCTGAAGTGGCCCCAGGGCTGGCCTCCCTAGCCTACTAGACCTGCTAGGGACAACTCTGGATCCAGAAAAAGGATGTGGATGGAAAGCTGACTGCAGAAAGGTTGGCAGGACATTCTGATGGGAGCCTGGCATTGCAGCTGTCTATGGAAAATCTCTTCTAAAATAAACAGAAGAAAGAATCCAACTACTAGTTGTGTCAGCTGTCTTTGTAGGATCCTAAGTACAGTGTAATCATAGCCCTTGCCCAGTGGAAAGGGAGTGCTGTGCCTCTAAGCATGACCTTTAGAATTTTTTTTCCTAAGGTAGCACAGTCTAAATGAATCAAGAACTTCAGAGAAGACTGACTGTGCTATGTAACTGTGTTTCAAAATATCTAAAGAATTGGAGGGGACCCCAAAGGTAAAGTGATCCACTAAGTGGATTCATGGGTGCTCTTTATAAATCTCCCCACAAGTTGTCATCTCATAACTTTATTCTTACCTGACCTCAGGTAATACCTGTTGGAGTTGACTTTATCATTTCCTCACTGATCCAGGCATCTTCCTTCTTACTTGAGGCCTTATTGTTACAGAGCTGTTTGGGACTGGCTAGAATCAATTCAGACAATTACCCTGTCTCCCCCAGAAGCCTAATGATTGCCTCTTTCAGCAAGAATAAGGTCAACAAGTTCCCATGCCTATTTCAAAATAGTATAAAAGCAAAACAAAACAAACAAAACCCCAAACTAAGTCATTCATGTTTGTGTTTGGAATGTACGGTAGTCCTTTGGGGATGGACATTCAGCAGAGTCCAACAGGGAAAAAATGATATTAAGAATTAACCTTCTCAAGTTCAGCAAACTTAAAACCATTTAATATCTTATCTATGGTAGGGATGGTAATTGGCAACTTTACGTTGTTGGAGGGTAAATTCAAAATTTAATAGGATTCTGTGGTGATCACTCACAGATGACTAGTTCAGTGCTAATGCTATTGAATTAGAATAGTTCTCTAAGGGAACACAGAGAGCAGCAATTCTTACATTGCTGTGTGGTGTTACACTGTATTTAGATTCACAGAGATTTATGTTAAACTGACCCCAGAAATAAAATGCATGTATGTGCACATTTGTGTAAAATCTTAGGAAGTTCATGGACTTTCTATGCATGCCGGGAAAAGAAACCAAGTACAGAGCTGGCCGTTACCTTTCCTCCTCAAGTCAGGGCTGTGTTCCAGGTGCTAACAGATTGGCAACTTCTCCTTGCACAAGTAGATCTGGTCTATCTTCCTCTACCCCTTAGCAAACTTCCATAGGATGCCAAATACCTTGGTATTCTTTTCCCCTTTTAGCCTCCATTTCCCACTTTTACCATTTTCTAGCTTTCTGAGCTAGCAGCATTCCAGAATGTTCTGTGTGCCAGCATTCTAATCACAGGATCTGGTGCTAAGCCACAGATAAAAAGTTATGTTTGGCCATTTATATCTAATACTGTTAGGGTTAGTATTTAAATGAGGGTTAAACCTTTAAACTGCAGAGTTATTTCTTATAACCATGGCAGCATCACCCCAGGGACTTTGTGATGGAACTTTCAGAAAAATATATTTCAAATTATTACAGGGATTGTGAAATTTGATGAACAGGTAAAAGAAGATCTGAGGCTAAAAACAACTTTGAGTCAGGTAGCTCACATTCCTATAAGATTCTTCTTCTGTTTTAAGCGAGCATAGGGCCAGGTTTGACTATATCATGCCCAATAGAATCTTGATGGAGACATGCTACTGTAACAGGACACACCAGACCTCAGTCTGGCCCAAAGTGAAGGAAGAAGCCAAGCTAAATCTCAGCAGATGTAAAATGCCACCTTCTTGGAGGTAAGGCCTAGGGAGAAAGTTATCAACATAATTAGCTCTGCAAGGAAGGGAAGGAACATCTTTCTGTAACAAGGAACTGTCAGCCATTCACATATCACTTGGGTAAGACTTGAAGGAATAGTCTTTAGAGAATGAATTCAATCTTGTCAAAGTGACATTTTAGAGCTGATTGATAAGTAAGGGATAAGTATTGATCTTCCACACATGCCAAATAGTTTTATACCTACAGTTTGCAGAGCTTGTTGTATCTTGGGCTCTTTCTAAAAGGAGGCTTTATCTGAATCTGGAGGTGAGCTCAGGTAGATCTAGGAACATTCTTGCTAAAGTTTAAGTGTACGTAGACTGTATCTGTTTCCTAATGTTGCTGTAACAAATGACCACATAAGACATGTGGCGTAAAACACAAATTTATTATGTTGTCGTTTTGGAGGAGAGAAGTCCAACATGGTTCTTAGGGGCAAAAGTAAAGGTGACAGAAGGACTGTGCTCCTTTCTAGAGGATGTGAATAAAACCAGCTGTTTCCTTGCTTCCTCTTGTTTCCAGAGGCTGCCTGTGTCCCATGGCCTGTGGCCCCTTCCTCTGTCTTCAAAGCCAGTAACATTGTATCTCTGGCCTTTCTTCTATAGTCACATCTCACTTTGATCATCGGCAGGAAATATTTTCTTGTTTTAGGGATTCATATGATCACATTGGCCTCACTAGGATAATCCAGGATGATCTCCTTTTCTCAAGATCCTTAGCTTAATCACATCTATAAAATCTTTTTATATGTAATGTAACATGGAGGGAGATCAAGCCAAGGATGAGGACATGGATATCTTTTGGGGAATCATGAGTTCTGCCTACTATATTTCTGTTTATTTGTCAAGAGCAAATCCATAAAGCATTTATCAAATAGGGCTCAGGACTCAAAAAAAAAAATTAAAAACTCCTCTTCTGACCTATTCTACCTGTAAGTTTGCTTGCTCTTCTGAATTTCCTCATCGGAGACAACCTCAGATTGTTTAAGCCTGATTCATCCCTTTTCATTGCACCCTCCACCCATTTGTCAAGCCCCCACCACTATATTTTATTCCTTAGTATTACAGTATGGTATGTCAGAGATCTCTTATTTGGTGTCCTACTACGCTTGTCTTTGGTGTGGAGGCATATTTGGCTTGTATGCTGTTTTAAAATACTTTGAATCAATATTTATTTGGAAAAATCTGAAGATGGGATAATCCAGAGTCTACATTCCTGCAAGGCAACAATAAACTGGAGCTGAGGAGACGTTTTCCATTTTTCACAATTCTCTTTAGCTCTCTCCATTTATTTATACTCTGGTTGATTTGGTTGGTTTCTGTAGATATTTGATTTATAATGCCTGCTTCAATCCTTTTCTTCCCAGCAACTGTCCATCCTGGGAACTCTGGGGCTGCCTGAAGTTAACTCCTAATATGGTGCTGGCTGATGATGTCTTACTGCTACTTTTCCACAGATGACATGTTCATATTTTAACAGAATTTCTGTGCATGTCGTGAAGGATACTTTACTACTCTGGCATGCTCCTCAATGCCTCGTGCTTTTCAAGATTGTAAGATTGTAGAAATGTAAGATTATAGAATCACATTTAGTTAGAACTAGAGGAAGCCTTATTAGTGCCTTAATACAATTCTCTATTCTATAGTTGGGTTTCCAGTGAGATTGCAATTTGCTTAAGTTCTCACTCCCGTGCTAACAGAAGCAAGCTAAGCACTGTCAGTCTGTTTAGAGCAGCTACTTGATGAATATGCGAAAGTGTAACTGATTTCCATAGCAAAAGCCAAGGCCCATCCTGTAAACCTTCAAATAGGACAAAGGAGAATTGATGAATGTCAGAGAATACTAATGAAGTTGGGGATTTCTTGCCCAGCTAAGTAAATTTACTTTTGGGAGTGATTGACTCACTTGTATTTAAAATATTGTATTAAAATTTATGATAGAATTAAACCTTTAATGTCATTAAAGACCTTCTCTATATAAACTGGAGCTATTTCATGGTACTGTCTCACTATTAATTAGATCGATGGTTACATTAGTGAGTTTTAGTTCATTAGCTTTATCTGGAAATCCCCTGCTAGAGGAGGTTGAAAATTCTTAGGGAGAATAATGGACTTTGATGGCTACCAATATTTTTTGTGATATCTAGATGAAAGAAAAAGTTGGAAGCTTTGTTGCTTTATAGAAAGAGGAAGTTTTGTTGGCAGTAGCTTTTCCATGGGGGATAAATCCTTTCATCTTTTGTTTTTGAGATGGACAACTTGTGTGTTTTAATAGCCAATTGTTTCTTAAATGTTTTTTCATAGAATTAAGTAGTCATAAAGAGTCCTGCTA